ACCCCAGAGGGGTCAGCCAGTCTGACCGGAACAGGTGCAGGGAGAGGAGTGAGAGTGGTGCTGTCACGAAAGAAATAGCGCGAGGCGCCGGAGTCCAACGTGAAGGTGTGCAAAGCCTCAGCAGGCGCAGTACCAGGGGGAGTACCAGACGCACTAGCACCTAGAGCAGCAGTCGCTATACCTGGGTTAGGTGGCACACACCAGTAACAGTCACCCTCAGCACTAAATGACAAAGCATACATGGCAGAGATAATAACATCATAGTCTAGGTCAAAGATAGGAACTCCTGACTGAAGCAACTGCGCCCAGTGAGGTCGCTCGATGTCGCCACCAAACTCAGTACGCCAGGCGTCGTCAAGGCGGGAAAAGTAGCGGCGCTCAGTGTGATACTTCCCGCATGTCTGGCCCGCACGGACACCCGTGCGAATGACATACGGGCAGGTCTCACTACCCTCACCCGGCCCACGCTGAACCAACCACTCATGGAGCTACTGGGGCGTCTGGGTCTCGCTCCGACGCTGCTGGTGCTGGCCCCGACCACCACCAGGGCCTGTGCGTCGAGGTCCAGACCTACCACCACTTGTCCCACCGCCTCCACTGCCGCCACTCCCTCCGCTGCCGCCACCAGAGCCTCCACCGCCGCCACCAGACCCACCACCTCCACCACGTCCACCGCCTCCACCTCCTCTACCACCGCCCCCACTACCACTCCCACTGCCACCTCCACCCCCACCGCTGCCTCCTCCACTACCCCGGCCACCCTTGCCCTTGCTGTTGCGGCGCTTCGCACTAGTTGAAGCAGCCCCGACGTCCTCAAGAACTGAGACGTCTGCAGCAGCAGCAGAGGCGAAGGAGGGGGAAAGGGGGGAGGGGGAGCACCCCTCAAAGAAGGGCGAGCGCGGAGTGCCACGAGCAGCACCTACAGCAACTGCACTAGTCTCAGTTGCGAGGAGATGCTGCTCGAGGAGGTCAACAGTGAGGGAGGTGGGGTCGAGGGTGAGGAAGCGGTCCCTGACAGAGCGAAGGGAGTCAGGGAGGCGAGTGACTATGAAGTAGAGGGTGATGAACATGGGGGGCTGGTTCGTGGGAAGGAACTCAGCAGGGACGGCAGCGCGGTAGCGAGCGTCGCTAGTGCGCAGGTGGGTAACCAGGTCCGCTACTGTGGCAAAAGCCGACAGCTCAGGGAACAGGTAGGGCAGTAGCAGCCTGCCAATAGCAGCAGTGGCAGGGGAGGAGTAGCGAGCAACGACAGCGTCGTACAAGGCCTGTGCTGTCCTGTGCTCGCCAAAGTGAGCACATTCGGTCGCGGGCAGGTGGTTGCGAATGGCCAAGCGGGCAGTAGCGTCACAAGACAGCCACTGGGAACGAGTCGAAACGTCAGCTGTGGCGGGAGGGGCTGGAGCGGCACCGGACACGTGGTCAAATAGTGAGACACTGTCCTTACTATCGCTCAGTAGGTACAGTTGCAGATCGTCGTGCCACGTGTCAAATGCTACAGGTCTGCCCTCCGGGTCGAACGGGAGAACTCTAAGCGAGGCCATAGTGGCACAGGACTAAGGAGCAGAAGTAGCAGTAGCTAAGGGGCCAAGGGGCCAAACAAGAGGGCCGAGGGGCCGATGGGCCGAGGGGCCTAGGGGGGCCGAGAGGCCTAGGGGGCCGAGGGGCCAAACAAGAGGGCCGAGGGGCCAAACACGAGGGCCGAGGAGGCCGAGCCGAGGGGCCGAGGCTAGGGGCCAAGGGGCCGAGAGGCGGGGCCGAGGGGCCAAACAGGGGGCCGGGCGCTGGGCAGGTACGGGGCCGAGGGGCCTAGGGGGCCGAGGAGGCCGGGCCTAGGGGCCGAGGGGCCAAACAAGGGGCCGGGCGTGGGCTAGGTACGGGGCCGGGCGCTGGGCTCTGAACTGGGGCCAAGGGGCCAAACACGAGGGCCAAGGTGGCCGAGAGGCCTAAGGGGGGCCGAGGGGCCAAACACGAGGGCCGAGGGGCCAAGCCTAGGGGCCGAGACTAGGGGCCGAGGGGCCAAACAAGGGGCCGGGCGCGGGCTAGGTACGGGGCCGAGGGGCCTACGGGGCCGGGGAGGCCGAGCCTAGGGGCCGAGGAGGCCGAGCCTAGGGGCCGAGGCTAGGGGCCGAGGGGCCTAGGGGCAGGGCCGAGGGGCCAAACAGGGAACGGGGCCGAGGGGCCAAACAAGGTACGGGGCCGGGCGCTGGGCAGGTACGGGGCCGAGGGGCCGATGGGCCGAGGGGCCTAGGGGGGGCCGAGAGGCCTAGGGGGGCGAAGGGCCAAACACGAGGGCCGAGGAGGCCGAGCCTAGGGGCCGAGGCTAGGGGCCGAGGGGCCGAGAGGCGGGGCCGAGGGGCCAAACAAGGGGCCGGGCGCTGGGCAGGTACGGGGCCGAGGGGCCTAGGGGGCCGAGGAGACCGAGCCTAGGGGCCGAGGAGGCCGAGCCTAGGGGCCGAGGCTAGGGGCCGAGGGGCCTAGGGGGCAGGGCCGAGGGGCCAAACAAGGAACGGGGCCGAGGGGCCAAACAAGGTACGGGGCCGGGCGCTGGGCAGGTACTGGGCCGGGCGCGGGCTGGGTACGGGGCCGAGGGGCCGATGGGCCGAGGGGCCTAGGGGGGGCCGAGAGGCCTAGGGGGCCGAGGGGCCAAACACGAGGGCCGAGGAGGCCGAGCCTAGGGGCCGAGGCGCGGGGCCGAGGGGCCAAACAAGGGGCCGGGCGCTGGGCAGGTACGGGGCCGAGGGGCCTAGGGGGCCGAGGAGACCGAGCCTAGGGGCCGAGGAGGCCGAGCCTAGGGGCCGAGGCTAGGGGCCGAGGGGCCTAGGGGGCAGGGCCGAGGGGCCAAACAAGGTACGGGGCCGGGCGCTGGGCAGGTACTGGGCCGGGCGCGGGCTGGGTACGGGGCCTGGCGCGGGCGAAGTACGGGGCCGAGCGCGGGTGTCGACTGGGCGTGGGCGCGGGTGTCGACAGGGCGCGGGCTAGGTACAGGGCCGGGTCGCGGGCTAGGTACGGGCCGGGCGCTGGCGTAAGACGGGGCCGGGCGCGGGCTAGGTACGGGCCGGGCGCGGGTGTCGACGGGGCGCGGGCCAGGTACGTGCCGGGCGCGGGTGTTGACGGAGCGCGGGCTAGGTACGGGCCGGGCGCGGGTGTCTACGGGGCGCGGCCTACGTACGGGCCGGGCGCGGGTGTCGACGGGGCGCGGGCTAGGTACGGGCCGGGCGCAGGTGTCTACGAGGCGCGGGCTACGTACGGGCCGGGCGCGGGTGTCGACGGGGCGCGGGCTAGGTACGGGCCGGGCTCGGGTGTCGACGGGGCGCGGGCTAGGTACGAGCCGGGCGCGGGCGTGAGACTGGGCCGGGCGCGGGCTAGGTACGGGCCTATCGCGGGCGAGGTACGGGCCAGGCGCGGGGCTAGGAACGAGGTAGGCGTAGTAGCAGGTGGTGGGCCCAAAAGTTACCTACTCTGATTCCATGTTAGAATAGTGTCGAGGATGATGCATTAGGTGAATGGGGGAAGGTACAAATAGAATGTCGAGAGAGATTATGTACCCCCTAAGGCTAAACCCACTACAGCCTAGAGAAATGTAAACACATATGTTTTGACAAAGCGGGGTGAACTAGGAAAGTGGCTCTAATACCAGGTGTTATGAGTTGTAAAGGAGAGTGCGCAGATTAACGAATAACGAGAATGTGATTGAACAGACTGAGCATACAATGAAGGCACACGCTAATGTAGTGGCTAGCCTAGCTAGGAGGGAACTTCGGGTGAGCGAGGTTGGGTGCAGGTTTGGCGAAGGGAAACGCCGAAGGCGACGCGAGGAGCCTCGACATCGTTGATGTCGGCCAAACGTGCAGAGTCCGAAAAGCGGGGCTATACGCGAAGCAGTCAACCCCGATAAGGAATTCGGGAAAATTCCTTACACTGGTAAAACCAGTGTAACTTAATTTTTAGGCTGCTGGTAACAGGGTACGCAATTTTTTACCCTAATAGTCAGGGTACGGGACCCTGATACCCTCATTTGAAAGAGGGGACCAAAAGCTATTTTGGGCCCTGGAGAGAAGGGTACGGAACGGACACATCAAGAAATACTTGCTGTGCAAACTGTTCGAGAAGACCGGAAACTTAACCGCATTTGTTATTGTGAAGGTCAATGGCGCTCACCATTAGTACGCACGCGACTGTACTAGTTCCGCGACCGTCCACTTCTCGCTCCAATCCGGTGACTCTCAATTCCGCAACGCGCGTGCGAAATAGTCGTACGCGGTCTACGGCCTTTTATTTTTCGCAAAACTCTTCGCCGCACATCGCCGACCTCAGCACATGCACCCACCGCAGCAAGCGGCGCAACTTCCGCCACAAGCGCGCTCGCAATTTGCAATGCTCCGCCTCATGCGCCGCATCCCCCGCCGAACCGTCAGCTCCAGCTAGGATTCCGTCTCTTGACGAACTCCGTCGAATGCTGGAGCAGACGGAGAGCGCAACGTTGACGGAGAGAGCAGAGACGGAGGGAAACGGAGGATCAGAAGGAGAAGGAATCGACGGTGAAGGCGGGAGAGTGTGGGAGAACGTGGCAAAGGCTTCTACGCGGCGGTTCGGGCAGAACGAAGGCGAGGAGGTGCGGGTGGTGCTGTATCGCGACGACGCCGCGTGGTGCCCCTTCTGCCAGCGCGTGTGGCTGCAGCTCGAGGAGAAGCGCATTCCGTACCGGTGAGAACGGATTCCGTGAAGGTGAGAGCGGATTTCGTACACAGGTAAGATGAAAAGAGTTTTTGCAAAAGTAAGATGGTTCTGCTCGTCATCACTTGCACCCCTATTCTTTCATTTCCCTCCCTCTCCCCGCCTTCTTGTGGCGGGGTTCACTCTCCCTGCTCCCTGCTCCAATCCTCCCTACTTTGATTCTCCTTTGCGTCTCTCCCTTCGCCTCTGCCTCTCTCCCTTCGCCTCTGTAGTTTTCCTCTCTCCTATCGTCCCCCTCAAGATCATGCCCCTCGAATGCCTTTAGCATGGAGAGAATGTACCTTGAGTGCTTCAGGAGAAATCTCTCAGCTTCGGCCTTCTCCCCTCTCCACATCCCTCCCCTCTCCCCTTGTCTCCCCCCTTCCATTCTCCCCACCCTCTCCCAACCCTCCAACACCTTCAGGGTTGAGAAAATAAACCTCAAGTGCTACGGGCCAAAGCCTGATTGGTTCTTGGAGCTCGTGCCCAATGGCATGCTGCCAGCTGTCCAGGTGAGCGCGGTGGTTTGGTTGGTGGTGTGTGTGTTTGTTGGTGCAGCCTGTTGGCTCTCTGGTTGTTTGTGAACGTGCTGTTTCCATTCTTCAGATTTCAGGCAACTGTGCGGTTGGCTACCCCTCTCAAACCTCTCAATACTGCACACATTGCACTGCTGCCCCACCTACTCACCCACCCACCCCCACCCCCCTCCCCCCCTTTCTTTTTTGTTATGTGTCTCATGTTTATGTTCATCCACCGCTGTAACCTTTGAATCACGGATCGCGCAGTCTTTGTGAGGTGATTATAACGCAGCACATCACACAATACCAGCTCCCGGCACCTCCTGTCCCCCTGTATTGCCACCCCACCACCCAGCTAGACGGGCGAGTGATCACAGAGTCCGTGACTATAATGAAGGAGATTGAAGCCGCCTTCCCAAGCCACTCGCCGCTCCTCCCCCCTCCCTCCGACGGGCATGCAGCAGCGGCAGCAGAGCAGCTGATGGGTCTGGAGAGGGGGTTGACTGGGGCATGGCTCAAGTGGACCAAGGGAAAGGATGCCATGCGCTGGCTTGCCAGTGGTAGCGGGGCCGGAAGCAGCAGCAGTGGGGGTAACAGCAGTGGGAGCAGCAGAAGCAGCAGTGGCAGTGGCGAGGGTGCAGGCGGTGAGGAGGAGAGGGAGGGGCGGAGGGAGTTTGAGGCGGCGATGGATGCCGTGGAAGCAGCTCTGGTGGAGAGCGGAGGGCCTTACTTCCTTGGGAAAGAGGTTCGTCTGTCAGCTTCACTCATTGCATTCAATCTCGCTTTTGTGGAAACCATTCTCACATTCATTACAGTCACTCTCCCATTCATTACAATCACTCCTCTACGATGGCAGCCAAGCTACACTCGTTTTGCCGGACTTTGTTTTTACCATATTCACCTACCATGCTTTCACTGCAAATACCATTCTATGTGTTTCAAAGTCCTTTGCAAGTGCACCTATGTTTCTTTATTCCCATGTATGGCAGCAATTCTAGGCAAACGGTTGTCAGTGTGTCACACATACTGCAATCTGTCTCACCAGTCCCAATGACTCCCGTCTCATTTGCCTCACATTTTAAAATCCTCCTCGTAATTGTTTTGTGTGCAAAATAAGTTCTACCACACTATGGCCAAGAATTCTCTCTCATGCTTGCCTCCCTACTTCTCAGGTGCTCCTGATTCCACTACCCATCCACTCCCACCCCGAACCCACATGGACTTCTCCCACATGGACTTCTCCCTCATCGACTTGCTCTACAAGCCTCAGCTCAAGCAATCTCCTGCTGATGCGAACTGTTTCTGCTGCACTCTCACCACACCATCTTTCTCACCTCTCTCCCCACTTCCCTTCCCATGGGTTCCTACTGTCGATCCACACCCGCCCCCACCTCCTGAGCAGTTCTCTCTCGTCGACGTCACCCACGCGCCTCTCCTCGAGCGATTCGCTGCCAGTGCGCCGTACTGGAAAGGCCTCACAGTGCGGAACAACCCTCGCTGGCCGGCCCTCTCCCACTGGTATGACGCCATGGATGCTCGACCCGCCTACCTCCCACTCAAGTCCGACGATTTCTCCATCACCCACTCCCTCGTGCCGCAAATCGGGCCGGTGATCGCGAGCGCCGATCCAACGGCTGTGGCGCGCCGGGCTTATATCGATGGACGGGATGGGACGGGCGCGTGGGATCTGCCGTTGAGGGAGGAGGAGACAGCGTGGGGGAGGGAGGATGGGACAGGAGGGAAGGGGCGGAGGGCGCAGAGAGAGGTGGTGCGGGCGATTGTGGGCAATCATGACAGGCTGGTGGCCTTTTGCCTGCGATCTCTGGAGGATTCTGCACTCGCTTCTGCCATTACTGCTGCTGGGGCTGCGGGTGGTGCCGTTGGTGGTGCTGCTGCCCCTATGAGCAGCCGGACTCACGCGGACCAAGCTGAACCACAGCAGCAGGCCATCACAGCGGAATGCCTTGCGCCAGCTGTCAGCGAGGCGTTGCGCCACGTGGCGCATGCACTGCTGGTCGGCACAGAAGCCGCAAGCCCCTTCCCTGCCATGTCCCAGGCACTCCTAAAGCTAAGTGGTGGGAGCAGAAGTGAGGATGGGAGGGCAGCAGTGGAAGAACGGTTGGTGTTGGCTCTTGCATATCTGAGGGATAGAGTTGGTGTTCCAAGGGACTTGAGTTATCCAGCTGCAAGGCAGCTGAGAGCTCACCTTCAGTGGGTCGTTCGGTCATTAGGATCCCCAATGTAAAAGCGTAGATGACCATATGTTGATGTATATTGCCGATGTCTAAAACCTTACTGACAAGCATGGATAACCATTACCGTATTACCCCGGATAGAAGCGCACCTGCGCTTACCGTCATCGCCCGGATATAAGACATATATGTCTTATCTCGTACACGGGCAAAAATGCTTGAGTTATCTTGTAAACGGGATGGTTTAGGGTGTCTTATAATTCTTATAAATGGAAAAAATTTTAAGTTGACTGTAACACTTGCAAAGTGTGTAGAAAACACCCAGGGACCAGATTCATTGAAACAGGCCGACCTCGGTGGTGATGCAGCAAAGCTGCCACCGCTGGCAAGATTCCTCTGTGCTGGCAGCATCTAATGATGCTGCCAGCGTCGTTTTGCTGCCAGCAGCGCATGGCAGCTTCCAGAACGCTGCTGGCAGCACGTTGGCAGCGTCAGTCTGTCCTCTACGAGGAGATGCCTCGTAGAGGAGCGGCTCGGCACCTGTGGATGGGGCACTCTGGCTGGGGGGGGTAGTCGGGCTTTCACTTCATTTGGTGCTCATGGAGGTTGAATTCTCACCTCAACCTTGCTCTCGGCAGGCTCTCTAACCATGCGCAGCAAGGTACCCCTAGGCAAGTCCTCACCTCGTCCTCACGTGCAGGTGAATAACTACGGGCGAATTAACTCGCCCGGCGATGGCATCCGCGTAGCCATGGCGAAGAACGCGAGCAAGGCGGGAAGTCCTACCGCCGCCTCCGGTGCGAGCTGTGACGGGGAAGACGGAGACGAAGCACACGGCGACGACGCCGAGGAGGATTGGCCGGAGAACGGCCACGATGACAGCGCTTCGGGCGACGAATTTGGTACTGCCGACATCGAGGAGGACGAATGGTGGAATCAGCCGGTCGGGAGCGACGACGATGTGGAAGAGTGGCGGGCTGGTGATTCCGACAACGACGGAGGTGAAGATGCTGGCGGTGACAACGCGGAGGCACAGGAAGCGGCGGTGGATGCGAATGAGGCTGCCGACGAGGCGGCGGCGGAACTCGAGACAGAGGCGCCTGCGGATGCGGACGCGGTGGCGGAGGCGAACAAGGTGGCTGCGGATGCCGTCTTATTTGAGGGTGAGGGCGACGACGACGACCCGTGGCGCCTTGGGACAGACGACGACGTTCCGCTACTGAAGCGGAGGCTGCGCCATCGCCTACAGTCCACGACGAAGCGCGCCCGCGTGGTGCTCTGTGACGACGACAGTCCCGGGGAGGAGCGTCGCCCCCTACTCACCGCTGCGGAGAAGGGAAAGGCAAAGGTCGTGGAAGCCCCTGCTAAGTCCCCTGCTAAGGCCCCTGCAAAGGCCCCTGCTCGTGGCCGCACAAGCAACAAGAAGCACAAGGACGACGGAGACCCTGGATCCAGCAAGGGTGCGGCAAAGAAAAAGGCGAAGAAGGCGCCGAATCCTGACGACATCATCGTCAACAAGGCGTTGGGCAGCGACGATGAGTACGCGGCGGCGGCGGGCCCGATTCCCACGTTCCCTGAGAAGGAGGCGCCGAAGGACCCCACCCTCCATAATCCCAACACCCGCCCACCTTCCCCTCGCAGCAAAGACACTACGAAGAAGCGCCGCGGCTGGACCGTGCGTGAGAAGGTTAAGTGGGCGCGCCGCTATCAGGAGCTCGGCTCCTTGAAGAAGACTAGCTTGGAGTCAACCGCGAGCGTCGCCTGCATCAGACGCTGGTGCGCGGAGGCGGCTGCGGGCATCTACAAGGGCGCGGCTAACTGCCGCAAGCGGATGCACGGGGGGGGCCGCCACGCACACTACCCCGACATGGAGGCAGCGTTGTACCGCTACATCTGCCTTCAGCGCGCTAACGGGGTGGCCATCTCGGTGAAGGACACCCAAAAGTGGAGCCGCGAGTGGATGAAGAAGCATTACCCCGGCAAGAACTGGAACGCGAGCTCTCACTGGAGCCAGCGTTTCCGTGACCGCTGGAACCTGGTGATGCGGGTGAAGACGAAGGTCGGACAACGTCTGTCGGCAGGTGCGTGGATAAGGAGTTCGTGCCGCGCACGGCCCATTGTATGCATGTCTTACCTTGCTCGTTGTCTAACCGTCCCTCGCTTCTGTTCCTGTCCCGTTTGCAGAGTGCGCGAAGGACTGCGAGTCCTTCTGGAAGTTCGTGCGCATCAACAGGGCGCGGCACAACATCGACCTGGCCCGTATCATCAACGCGGACCAAACGCCACTGTTCGTGGAGATGCCGGCCGAGAGGACGATCGAGCACCGTGGCGCGCGCTCGGTCCCAATCCGCACTGCAGGCTACCAGAAGACGCGCTTGACGGTGATGCTCGCGTGCACTGCATCCGGGGAGAAGCTGCGGCCGTGGGTGTGGTTCAAGATGAAGAACGTCCCCAACTGTGAGATTCCGGACGGTAAGCGCCATGACTTCAACCTTGCCCCTGCCTCATGAGCGTGCCCCACTGTGCTGATGTCCGTCTGTCCCTTGTGTGCCTGGCAGGAATCGTGGTCCAAGCACAGGACAACGGGTGGATGGACGAGAGCGCTGTACAGACCTGGCTGTCCAAGGAGGTGCTTCCCCATCTGAACCCCCAGCGCGGCAAGAGCGCGAGGCGTGCGATGCTGGTGTTGGACTCCTACCGCGGCCACATCACCCAGACCATGCTTCAGTCGTACCGCACGCACAGCATCACCCCTGCAGTCATTCCAGCGGGTTGTACGAGCCAGATTCAACCCCTGGACGTCTCCATCAACCGGTGCTTCAAGGCTGCCGTGCGAGCGCGCTACGCCAGGTGGTTCATGCGTGAAGGGATTCACCTGAAGACGAAGAAGGGTGAGTTGGCTGTTCATTTTAAATTCCTGCTCTGTTTCGTGTCCTTATCGTTAACATCTCGCTGCCGTGTCCTCTGTCCCACCCGCAGGGAACCTGCGGAGGCCTCCGCACCCCGTGGTGCTGCAGTGGATCGCGGAGGCTTGGGATCAAGTCCCCAGGCAGATCATCATCGACGCGTTCCGCCACTGTGGGATCTCCAGCAAGCTGGACGGAACGGAGAACCACCTGGTGATGTCTCACCTGCGCGCCAGGAGCACCACCGATGTCTCCGAGGACATGTCCCTCGGGGGGACCACAGGCGACAACACGCGCCTGCTTCGGAAGGCTCCAGAGGAGGAGGAGGAGGAGGAGGAGGAGGAGGAGGAGGAGGAGGAGGAGGAGGAGGAGGAGGAGGAGGAGGCGATGCAGGCGGAGGGCGTGCGGGAGGTGGCCGTGGCAACTGGCCTGGAGGTGCTGTACCAGGAGACCCCCAACTACCGCGGAGCGGCGGCCGAGGCTGACCGCATGATCGAGCCAAGGGAGACGGCTAGGCATGCCTGGCGAGTGCCAGACCTGGGCGTAGAGCCTGTTGCTAGTGCTGCAAAGGAGGCGGTTACTGAGGGGGGTTAGGTAGAAGTAGGGATTCATGAATGTATGGATGTACCCCCTAAAGTAGTGTAGGCTCGTTTAGAAGACACCCCCTGTTTATAAGAAAACCCATAAACCCCGGTTCTGATTATAAGACATATATGTCTTATCTCGTACACACAAATAGGTGTCGTATAAAAAGGCTTGCCTGTTTATAAGAGACACCCGTATAGTAGACAACCCATGTCTACTATTCAACACTGTCGTATATCCGGGCGATGACGGTAAAATAAAGCAGAGTTTTTTAGGGGGGTACGCTTCTAATTGAGTCATTTTTATAAGCGCATGCGCTTATAAAATGACATATACGAATTTATAAATTTAAGACACCAAATTGTATGTTTCACTCTTGCCATTTCAACCGAGTCGAAACTTTTCGCGTCACAATGCAGAATCTCCTGCAAGCGATTCTCTTCCAGCACACAGGGGCCAAGATGCGACACTTTGCAGTCATGCCAGCACATCCTGACTGGACGCGCAGCCAGTCAGGTCTTCGAGAGTCAAACTCAGCGAAATTGAGATTGTATTCGCTTCAAAATTGAAACTCGCTACTGTTTCGAACAGAAATTTTAATTTAAAATTGTACATGCGCTTATAATAAGTAACGTTTTCACAGGGGGTGCGCTTATAATTGAGGATCGACCATAAGCGCATTGCTCCAGATAGAAGCGCATGCGCTTATAATAGGCCTGCGCTTCTATCCGGGGTGATACAGTATGATTCACGTGTAAGCGAGAAACTTTGAACCACCTGAACCCTACACCAGGTTTTCTGTCATCATTGTAAACTTGTAGGTATTTTTTTCTTCGAATGCGGTGGAACCATATTGTAGAAGCAGTTTAATATATGAAGCCTTTTCAGCAACCCTCCACTCCATGCGTTTCCTCAGGTGAAGCAGTAGCCATTGCGATCATGATGATGCTTCAAAGAATGCCTCGCACCAGGGCATATGTTTGGTTTTTGGCTACTCACGATTAGCAGTGTAGCATTTTTGAAAACCCTTCTGATCAGTGTGTAATTTTTCGTTACACTGATACATCAATGTAACATTGAGTTTCAAAAACTTTACCCCAGAGCATCAGTGTAGTATATTTGCGTACCCCTATCGCAAAAAAATATTACTAATCGTTTTAGAAATTGGGAAACACCATTTTATTAATATAGCCATTCAGTGACATTTATGTACGCTCATCCTCGCTACCATCAGACGACTCCTCTCTTTCCTTTCCCTTTCCAGAGCACGACTTGTATGGGGCATGTGTTTTTGCGGGTCTTCTCTTTTTTTCGCTTCCGCCAGATATCCAACACCTCAGGCCACTTGTACTCATAGCTTAACATGTTCAGGGTCATCAGTTCGGATAGCCGGGCGTCGCCAAGCGACGTCCGAAACCAGCTTTTGATCACATTTTGGCGACTGAATCCGTGCTCGCACTCCACGGTACTTAGCGGAATTACTGCCAGCGCCTGCTGATAAAATAACGAACGAGAATGAATGAAACTAGGAAAGAGTTGGGTACAAGTACTAACCCTAATTTGGTTGTACCCCTTATGGGCTACCCCACTACAGCCTACACAAATGTATAAGCTATAATGTTCTCGGCGCAAGGGTGGCAGGGCGGGGCAGGCGAGGGCGGCAGGGGAGGCAGAGACCTGGGGAGACCAGAGACAAGAAGACGAGAGTGCATGCCACGAAGGCGAGGCAGGGAGGGGTGACCCAGGCGGTGGTGCCACAGAAGAGTCTGGTGCGACAGGATGCGACACGAGCAAGAGGCGGCTACCTGACCTGACGCGGACACCTGAGCAGACACAGCTACCTGAGAAGGCTCGGTAGCGAGTGTGTACAGACTCGACCCTGGCCGACGAGTGAACGTGGCCAGGTGACGCCCTGTCCGTGTGCACGTGCAGATCGACACACGCTGACCCGCAGGAGTGGTGGTAGTGACCATCGCATCCTGGAGGGCAGCGGTACTCACCAAGTTCGTAGAGAACGAGGGGAGGTGAAGACCTGACAGTGAGCCGGATGGAACCGCCGGACACGGGAGGACAATGGAGGAACGGGCCACGATAGGTCCTCCGGAGGGGTCAGCCAGTCTGACCGGGACAGGTGCAGGAAGAGGAGTGAGGGTGGTGCTATCACGAAAGAAACAGCGCGAGGCGCCGGAGTCCAACGTTAAAGTGTGCAAGGCCTCAGCAGGCGCAGTACCAGAGAGAGTACCAGACTCACTAGCACCTAGAGCAGCAGCGGCTATACCTGGGTCAGGCGACACACACCGGTAACAGTCACCCTCAGCACTAACAGACAACGCATATATAGCAGAAAGAATAGCATAAAAGTCTAGATCAAAGATAGCAATCCTAGACTTAAGCAGATATGCCCAGCGAGGGAGCTCGACGTCGTCACCAAACTCAGCACGCCAAGCGTCGTCAAGGTAGGAGAAGCAGCGGTGCTGAGTGTGGAGCCGCCCGCAAGTCTGACCAGCACGGTCACCCGTGCGAATGACATACGGGCAACTACCCCCAGACGCCCCACGCAGAAACCACTCACGAAGCTGCTGGGGGAACGGGGTCTCGCTCCGACGCTGCTGCTGCTGACGCTGGCCACCCCCAGAACCGACACGCCGAGCGCCAGTCCCACCGCTACCAGTCCCACCGCCTCCACTGCCGCCACTCCCACCGCTGCCTCCACCACCGCCACCAGAGCCCCCACTCCCGCCAATAGTCCCACTGCCGCCACCACCTCCACTGCTGCCCCCACCACCACTCCCGCTGCCACCTCCACCACCGCCGCTGCCACCTCCACCACCCCGGCCACCCTTGCCCTTGCTGCTGCGGTGCTTCGCACTAGCAGAAGCAGCCCCGACGTCCTCAGGAACAGAGATGTCTGCAGCAGCAGCAGAGGCGTAGGAGGGGGCAAGGGGGGAGGGGGAACACCCCTCAAAGAAGGGCGGGCGCAGAGTGCCACGAGCAGCACCTACAGCAACTACACTAGTCTCAGCTGCAAGGAGGTGCTGCTCGAGGAGGTCAACAGTGAGGGAGGTGGGGTCAAGAGAGAGGAAGTGGTCCCTGACAGAGCGAAGAGAGTTAGGGAGGCGGGTGACAATAAAGTAGAGAGTGATGTACATCGGGGGCGGGTTCCTGTCAAGGAACTCAGCAGGAATGGCAGCGCGGTAGCGAGTGTCACTAGCGCGAAGGTGGGAAACCAGGTCCTCGACTGTGGTAAAGGCAGACAGCTCGGGGAACAGGTAGGGCAGAAGGAGGCGGCCTAGAGCACCAGTGGCAGGGGAGGAGTAGCGAGCGACGACAGCGTCGTACAGTGCCTGCGCTGTCCTGTGCTGTCCGAAGTGAACACATTCAGCTAATGGCAGGTGGTTGCGAATGGCTAAGCGGGCAGCAGCGTCAAGAGTAAGCCACTGTGAGCGAGTCGAAAAGTCAGCTATGGCGGGAGGGGCAGTAGCAGCGCCTGACGCGAGGTCAAACATCGAGACACTGTCCTTAGAATCGCTCAGTAGGTACAGCTGCAGGTCGTCTAGCCACGTGTCAAACTGAATCGGTCTGCCCTCATGATCAAACGCGAGAACCCGAAGCGAAGCCATAGCTGTGCTGCACACAGGATAGCAGTAGCAATTGTAGCAGTAGCAGTAGCAGCTGTAGCAGTAGCAGCAGGGACAGTGGGGCAAGGGGCCGACGGGGCCGGGCGCGGGGCTAAGGGTCGACAGGGGGCCAGGCGCGGGCTAGGGACGGGGCCGGGCGCGGGCTAGGGACGGGGCTGGGCGCAGGCTAGGGACGGGGCCGTGTGCGGACTAGGTACGGGGCCGGGCGCTGGGCTAGGGACGAGGCCGGGTGCGGGGCTAAGGGCCGACGGGGCCGGGTGCGGGCTAGGGACGGGGCCGGGCGCGTAGACTAGGGGTGACGGGCCGGGCGCGTAGGCTAGGGTCGACTTGCCTAGGTGGGGTACTAGCAGCGTAGCAGGTGGTGGGCCCAAGGAACCTGCTCTGATTCCATGACAAAATAACGAACGAGAATGAATGAAACTAGGAAAGAGTTGGGTACAAGTACTAACCCTAATTGGGTTGTACCCCTTATGGGCTACCCCACTACAGCTTGCACAAATGTATAAGCTATAATGTTCTGAAACCTGCCACATGGACGTCAGGTTGGGAAAACTGCGCGGCCAATCCTTGGTCCTCAACATTTTGTTAAGACCCTGGTAGAAGTCATCGTCCTGGTAGTGGCGAGACATGACGTGGCAGAAGCTGGCCAGCTCGAACTCTGCCGCTCGGTGGTTGAAGCCTGCCACGTGTGATGGAGGGACAACATTTTGTGAGTAGAAAGGACGAATCAAATCAAAACAAAACACGCTCATACAAGACAACATCCACGTGTGGATAATTACCTTGCAGCCGGTTGTTGAAGAGCCGCGCGTTGGCATCCAGCCAACTCAGCACCCGACGCTCCCGCTTGTCTGACGCTTCCGGCCACGTTTCAACTTTGTAAAGCTTGCTGCCCTCCATTTGCTTCAAGCTCCACATGCGAGTGTGCATGATTGTCGCCACCTCCAGTGCGAATGCTTTGCACAACTTGATGCAGTCGGCCATCGAGCCGCCGTATTGGTGTCCTGGTATTGGCGCTCGCTCAGCACGATCTGATGTGAAGATGGCTCACCATCCGCATCCGAGCCGTCCACGCGTATCATTTGCCTGCCGCTGCCAAGGCGTGCGATGAATGGCGACAGTAGCTTGCTGACCCCCCCTCCGAAAATGTCCACGTATTCCACGTATCGAAGTCTGATGACTCCAATCGTGCGATCCACCTCTTGGTGAACGAGCGTGATATCAACCTGAACCAAAGATGGGCAGATGAACGACACGTTTAAATGTTACTGTAGAATTAAATGACGTGACTAAAAGAAATACATGCACAATGAATGAACACTTACTTTCTTGCGCTGGAAAAACTTGTTGAGTGCGTTGATCTTTGCCAGA